TGACCAAAAACAAAACAAACAAACAAAAAAACAACTGGTACCAGGGGCTTTGAATGTAAAAGTGATAGAGTGCTTGCCTAACATGCATGAAGCCCTGGGTTCCATTCCTCAGTACCACATAAACAGAAAAAGCTGTAAGTGGTGCTGTGGATCAAGTGGTAGAGTGCTAGCCTTGAGCAAAAAAGCTCAGGGACAGTGCCCTGGCCTTGAGTTCAAGCCTCAGGACTGGCCAAAAAAAAAAGATTTCTATACGTATTTTGTACTCATTCTGGGACTTGAACTCAGGGCTTCAACATTGTCCCTGGGCTTTTGCGCTCAGGCTACTGCTTTACTACTTTAAGCCACAGAACCATTTCCAGCCTTTAGGCAGTTAAGTGGAGATAAGAGTCTCACGGTCTGGCTTTGGACTAGGACTGGCTTGAACTGCAATCAAATCCTAGGATCTCAGCCTCCTGAATAGGTAGGTGTAAGCCACTAAGATTTAGCTCTATATTTTTTTCCTCTATGGAAATAAATTAATGGAGTCTAGAAATGCCCTGGTTGGCACAAGATGATACCATAGACTGAGGTTAGCTATTGTGTTTTCCTTACCACAAGAGGGCACCAATCAGTCAAATCTTCCTGCCAGTATGAAACAATACAGACAGCTCTAAGAAATTGTGCTTTTCTTTGACAAAAAAGCTTTGAGCACCTAGCATGCAATAAACATTGGAGTAACTTATATATGATCATGCAATGTATAGTCTTGACAAGCACCTACCCTGCCTGTGCCTGAGACAGCCTAGACATGGAGGTGGAGGGTGGGGTTCAATGTGTTATTTTGTGATAGGGATTGTCTTGTCTTCCTGCCCTTGGCTGTGAGTCTGGGAGAACAATTACTTAGTGTCTACTTTGTGTCAGATGGTATGCTGGTTGCTGAGATACAGGATGAATAAGATACACTTGCAGCCTACTACTAGATAAAATGTCTTTGCGGGTTATGATAAAAAGACATGAGCTAGTTCTGTGGAACTGTAGTTCCTCTGACCTGAGAATGCAGAGCCTTGAATACAAAATACACTAACACATGAAGCTGCCAGCCTTGCAACTTAGAGCCATACCCACAGTAGATACTGGGTACTGAGTTTGTGAGTTGATTTGAGCCGAAGGAGCAGCTTCTGCTCTGAAGTGGCAGGTGTATGTTTCAGTGGGGTTAGACTAAGGATCTAACATCCTATAAATTAGGGTGGGGCTATGATGAATTAATGTGGGTGAACTGCTTTGAAGATGAGCTTTCTGCCTCTTTATCTACTCACAGCCTTGCTATTAAAGGTGTCACCATCATCTCTGAGGTTTCCAGGTCAGCAATCTTCTTGTCCCTAAATTGAATGGTGGAGGAAGGGAAGCCAGAACTAAGCATACATCATCATTTTGGGAGGAAGTGCTGCTTTGACTAGGACACACTTCTTCCTTGAGGGGAGCTCTAATTCCAGTGGGGTTTGGTCTCAAGACCTAGTCAGGATTGTAGGTTACAGAATGATGCTCTAAATTACAGTTTGTTTCTTAAACCTCATTTATAGTGGCGAGGCATCAAAAAAATGAAGGAGTGCTTCTTAAGTTTGGATTATACCACACTTAGTACATACAGCATACAAGGGGGTGGAGAAGAGGAAGAATTAATCTACAGCGGAAGTACCTGACATACTACCTCAGCCAGTAATTAAGGTCAACATAAACAATGCTAAGTCATGTTGCTTTATTATTGGCTTTGATGTGATGTGATGAAAATGGCATTTTACACCACCCTCTTTGATCTTTCCCTTAAAAAAAAAACACAACCCCAGTCTTACTATGAGAGAAAAAACCCCCACAAATCCTAGTTGAGGAATTGTCTACAAAAACTTTGACCTAAAGCCGGGCACTGGTAGCTCACACCTGTAATCCTAGCTACTCAGGAGGCTGAGATCTGAGGATCATGGTGCAAAGCCAGACTGGGCAGAAAAGGCTGTGAGACTCTTATCTCCAATAAATCACTAGAAAACCAGAAGTGGTGCTGTAGCTCAAGTAGAGTGCTCGCCTTGAGCTGAAGAGCTCAGGGATAGTGCCCAAGCCCAGAGTTCGAGCCCCAAGACCGACAAAACAAAAACAAAAACACCCCCCCCAAAAAAAAAACTTTGACCTAGCTGAGTCTGGTGGCTGGAATTCCAGCATTCAGGAAGTGGAGGCAGAGTATTGAGTGTTTGGGTCCCCTTGGAATATATAGAAACCTTGAGGCTAGTCTGAGCTACAGAGAACATCTGAAAACAAAAGAGAACAAAACTAACCAAGATGGTTCAAAATTTTTTAAATCAAGCCAGGTGCTGGTGGATCACATCTGTAATCCTAGCTACTCAGGATGCTGAGATCTGAGGATTGCGGTTCAAAGGCAGCCTGGGCAGGAAAGTTCGTGGGACTTATCTCCAATTTACCACTAGAAAACCAAAGTGGCGCTGTGGCTCAAAGTGGTAGAGCACTAACCTTGGGCTGAAGAGCTCAGGGACAGCGCCCAGGCTGTCATTAAGAAGAAAACTGAGACAAATGTCAATAAATAGGAAAACTAAATGTGGTTTGGTAGCTTATATGGAATCCTGGAACAGAAAAATATTGTTAGGTAAGAACTAAATAAATATGACTAATGGGTGAACTTGAGTTAATAGTAATGTATCAATATTGGCTTATTAATTGCATAAATAGACTATCTAATGTAATAGGGTGTCCGGTGCCAGTGACTCACACACATGCCTGTAATCTTAGCTACTCAGGAGGCTAAGATCTGAGGATCAAGCTAAGAATCTCATGGCGGGGAGAAAAATGAGGGCAGGGACAATAAGTTTGACAAGGAATGTACTATCTTATGTATATAACTGTTAACCCCTCTGTACATCACCTTGACAATAAAATTAAATAATAGAAAAAGTCTTATGGCCTTTCCTGCCCATGCTAGCTTTGAAGTGAGATCCTCAAATCTCAGCCTCAGTAGCTAGTGTTATAGGTCTCTGAGCGATTAGCACTCAGCTTAATCTAAAACTTCTCTAAAAATAAAGTGAATTAAAAAAAGAAAAGGTGGTATCCAGAATACAGCTATGCCTTTATTTAAAAAAAAAAAAGTTCCCTTTCTTCTTTTGCTTGTGTACTGAGGCTTGAAATCAGGGCCTGGGTGCTATAACTCCCCCACCCCTCAAAGTTGGCACTCTACCACTTGAGTCACAGATCCACTTCCGGTGTTCTGCCGGTTAATAGGATATAATAATCACAGATTTTCATGCCTGGGCTGGCTTTGAACAGGCAACCGGCTTAAAGTTCCTCTTTATAGATAATTTACCATATATAGTAAATGCTGTACATAGATGATCTCATTTAATCATTACAATTTCTTGTGTTAGGTGTAATTAAATCTGCTTTTAAAGAAGCTGATGAAACAAAGACAGGTAATATGAATTGGAACAAGGTTCTTTCGGATCCCCAAATGGTGCAGGTGGAACTCTCCCACTAGCCTGACTTTCCCAGGAAATAATTTCGGCAGTTCAGAACTCGCCTTCCTAAAAGATTTTAAGTCACAAAGACTTAAGACTTTGCAAGCCTCACTTCAATCACGATTGTTTTTCAAAGTTGCTCAGTTCCTGGTTCAAACTGAATGGACCTATGGAGGGAGGATCAAAGTCCGAACACAAGTGCTGGCTCCAAACCCCTCAGAGGAGGCCCAGGAACTCAGGCTATCTATTTCGCAGTCTTTTCTGGTAACTTCTAGTCTTTAAGAAGGGAAGTGGGAGTTTCTCTTTTGGGAACTCGTCCTCCGTGCGGCCTGGTGGATGACTTGCCCAGGGGCATACTGTCTGGCCTGGGGAACTGCATCTGGGGGGGAGAGATGTTTCAACATCATCTCCAAGTCAAGAACCCACAAAGTGCAGGGACTGCAGACCGGGCGTCCTCCAGGGGGGCCCGGAGGCTGGCGGCCGCGGACCCGCAGCGGGGAGGGTGCGGGGCGCTCTAGAACCCGAGGTTCCTTCCGGGACGCGGACGCGCCGGGGGCACCGCGGCGTCGGGCCGCACAACAGTCGCACAGGGGCCGAGGCGATCCCCGTCCGTCCGTGTGGGGGCCCCCGCGGCCGCCAGGCCCGGGAAGGGCGGGGGACACGCGCCCGCGTCACAAAGCGCCGCCACCGTGCCGGCAAGCAGGGAGGAGGCGGGCAAGTGGGAGGAGGAGGAGGAGGGAGAGGCGGGCGGCTGAGGGAGGGAGGGGCGCGCGCAGGCG